ACAGGAGCCATAGTTTCCACTGATTTGAGACCAGAATCAGATAGTGTCCAGTTGCCACTACCAACTGCTCTGATTGGGATCACAATAGAAATTCCTGGATGGAATAGGAAAAAAATTTAGAACACAATTCAAAACCATAAAAAAAAAAAGACCAGACTTACTGATCTTATAGAAACTGGAGGAGCGCCCATGATTGTGGTCCTTAGACATTCTTTAAACCTGGAACTGAACTCATCCTTGCAGATTACCTTTTAACAAAACAATCAACAGGTTTATAAAGTGAACAGAATAGAATTTTGCAAAACAAATGACTTCTTCATGCAAACACTTTTTAAAAACAACTATACACTTGGAACTCATCAGATGGAATACACAGAAATCAAATTGGCCACATCATATCAGCTAAAACAAGTCCAGGGCTAGACTGTGGAACGTACTATCATATGCAAGTTCAGGCTGAAGATGAAGAAAATTAGAACAACTCCAAGAGAGCTAACATATGAATTGGATTATATCCCACCTGAATTTAGAAATCATCTCAAGAAAAGATTTGATGTATTAAACACTAATACCAAAAACCAGGAGAATTGTGGAATGACATCAAGAACTTCATGAAAAAAGAAAGAAAAGGGTCATTAAGAAGATAATAAAGAAAAAAATATAAAAGTGGATGTCAGAAGAGACTCTGAAACTTGTTTCCAGCATAGAGATTCTAAGCAAACGTAAAAAATGAAGAGGTAAAATAGCTGAACAGAAAATTTCAAAGGGCAGCTCAAGAAGATAAAGTCAAATATCGTAATAAAATATGAATTGACCTAGAGTTAGAAAACCAAAAGGGAAGAACACATTCAGCATTACTCAAACTCAGGGAATGGAACAAAAAATTCAAGCCTTGACTTGCAATATTGAAGAATTTTATGGGCAAAATATTGAATGATGCAGAAAGCATCAAAAGAAGATAGAAGGAATACACAGTCACTATACCAAAAATAAATGGTTGATGTTCAACCATTTCAAGTGGTAGTGTATGATCAAGTGCCAAAGGTACTGAAGAAAGAAGTTCAAGGTGTACTGAATGCATTGAAAAAGAACAAGGATTTGAGAATTTATGAAATACAAATTGAAATCTTGCAACAAACAGATGCAGCACTGAAACCATCTATGCCAAGAAATTTGGAAGATAGCCACCTGGCCAACTGATTGAAAGAGATCCGTGTTTGTGCCCTTTCCAAAGAGAGGTGACCCAATGGAATGCAAGAAATCATCAGACAGTATTATAAATATCACATTTACTTTAGCAAGTAAAATTTTGCTAAAGATAATTCAAAATCATCTGCAACTAAGCATTGCCAGGGAACTGCCAGAGAGTCAACCCGGATCCAGAAGAGGACGTGGGTGGAGTAAAGGATATCATTGCTGACTTCAGATGGAACTTGATGAAAGCAAGTTGTGCTTATTAACTATGCAAAGGTTTTCGACTGTGTGGATCATGAAAACTATAGAGAATGAATATTATGGGACACTTAATTGTCCTAATAAGGAAGCTTTACATAGACCAAGAGGCAGTCGTTTGCATAGAGCAAGGGGGTACCAAATGGTTTAAAGCAGGAAAGGTGTGTGCCAGGGTTGTATTCTTTCACCATACTTATTCAGTCTGTATTCTGAGCAAATAATCCTAGAAGGTAGATTATATGAAGAAGAATGTGGCATAATTAGAGGCAGATTCATTAACAACCTTCAATATACAGATGGTACAGCCTTGCTTCCTGAAAGTGAAGAGGATTTGAAATATTTACTGATGAAGATCAAAGACCACAGCCTTTGGTGTGTGTTACACCTCAATGTAAAGAAAACAAATAACATCTGAACCACTGAACCAATAAATAACATCATGATAAATGGAGAAAAGATTGAAGTCTGTCAAAGACTTCATTTTACTTGAATCCATCATCAGCAATCCTCAAAGAAGCAGTTCAGAAATCAAATGATGTATTGCATTAGACAAATCTGCAACACAAGATTATCTTAAAGTGTTCAAGAGTATAGATGTCAGTTTTATGATTAAGATGTGTCTGACCCAAGCCACGGTATTTTCAGTTGCCTCATATGCATGTGAAACTTGGACAATGAATAAGGAAGACTGCAGAAGAATTGATGTATTTGAGTTATGGTATAGGAGAAGAGTATTGGAAGTACCATGGACTGCCAGAATAACAAACAAATGTATGGTGGAACAAGTACAGCCACAGTGCTCCTTAGAAACCAAGATGAACAGACTTCATCAATCATACTTCAGACATGTTATCAGGAGGGACCGGTCCCTAGAGAAGGACATCATGCTTAGTAAAGTGGAGGATCAGCAATGAGAAAGATTGGCACAGTGGCAGCAGCAATGGGTTCAAGCGTAGCAACGGTTGTGAGGTTGGTGTAGGACCTGGCGGTGTTTTGTTCTGTTGAGCATAAGATCGCTATGAGTCAGTACCGACTAGATGGCACCTAACAATAAAAACATAAAATGAACAGTAGCACCCATGAGGAATGCACTTCCCAGTGCAGTCAATCATACAAGACCAGAAGTGTAGCATTTGTCCTACAACCAAGTTCGAAAGACAGGAAGGGGCAGGAAAAAAGGACAAAGGGAAATAATGGAACCCAAGGAGGAAGTTCGAACAATTGCCTCTTGGTTCAGGTACAGATTCCTCATGAGCACAATTAAGTGTTCCGGAACACTCATACTTCACAATGTTGTCCATAAATTGTAATGATCCCCACAATCGAAAGCCTTAGCATAATCAATAAAGCACAGGTAAACATCTTTCTGATTGATATTCCTTGCTTTCAGCCAAGATCCATCGGACATCAGCAATGATATCCCTCATTCCACGGCCTCTTCTGAATCCAGCTTCAACCTCTGGAAGTTCTCTGTCAATGTATGCTTGCAGCAGTTTCTGTATTTACTTTAGTAAAATTTTACTCACATGGGATATCAAAGAGATTGTCCAATGATTTCAGCATTCCATTGGGTGACCTCTCTTTGGAATGGGCACAAATATGGATCCCTTCCATAGTCAGCCAGATAGTTGTCTTCCAAATTTCTTGGCACAGATGAGTGAGTGTCTCCTGTGCCGCCTCACTTTCTTGAAAGATTTCTATTTTTATTCAATCAATTCCTGGTGTCTTGTTTTTTGTCAATTCCTTCAATGCACCTTGGACTTCTTCCTTCAGTATCATTGGCTCTTGATCATATGCTACCTCTTGAAACACTTGAACATTAACCATTTCCTTTTCATATAGTGACTCTGTGTATTCTTTCCATCTTCTCTTGGTACTTTCTGCATCATTCAATAATTTGCCCAGAGAATCTTTCAATAAAGAAAGTTGAGCCTTGAATTTTTTTCTTCAGTCCCCCCAGCTTGAGAAATGCTGAGCGTGTTCTTCCTATTTGGTTTTCTGATTCCAGATCTTTGCACATTTTGTTATACTATTTGGCTTTATCTTCTCGAGCTGATCTTTGAAATTCTCTGTTCAGCTCTTGTATCTCCTAATTTCTTCCATTTGCTTTAGCATCTGTGTGCTGGAGAGCAAGTTTCAGTGTCTCTTCTGATATCCATTTTGACCTTTTCGAACAGACATGGAAATACTGAATGGTTTAAAATTAAGAAAGGTGTGCGACGAGGTTGTATTCTTTCACCATACTTATTCAACCTGTATGTTGAGCAAATAATTCAAGAAACTGGTTTATATGAAGAAAAATGTGGCATCAGGATTGGAGGAAGAGTCATTAATAACCTGCAATATGTAGCTGATACAACCTTGCTTGCTGAAAGTGAAGAGGACTTAAAACATTTACTGATGAAGATCAAAGAGCACAGCCTTTGGTATGGATTGCATCTCAATGTAAAGAAAACAAAAATCCTCATCACTGGACCAATAAACAACATTCTTATCAACAGAGAAAAGATTGAAGTTCTCAAGGACTTCATTCTTCTTGGATCAACTATCAACACTCATGGAAGCGGCAGTCAAGAAATCAAATGACGTATTGAATTAGACAACTCTGCTGCACAAGACATTTTAAAGTGTTGAAGAGCAAGGATGTCAGCTTGAGGACTAAGGTTTGCCTGACCCAAACCATGGTATTTTCAGGAACCTCATATGAACGAGAAATCTGGACAGTGAATAAGGAAGACCGTAGAAGAATTGATGCTTTTGAGTTGTGGTGTTGGAGGAGAATATTGAAGGTGCCCTGGGCTGCCAAAAGAACCAACAGCTCTATATTGAAAGAAGCGCAACCAGAGTGCTCCTTGGAGGCCAGGATGGCCAGACTTCACCTCTCATACTTCAGACGTATTGTCAGGAAGGACCAGTCACTGGAGAAAGGTATGTTTAGTAGGATGGAGGGTCAGAGAAAAAGAGGGAGACCCCCAGCGAGATGGATTGACCAAGGGGCAACATTGATGGACTCAACATTGATGGACTCAAGCAGTGAGTTCGGCCCGGGATCAGGCAGTTTTTCATTTTGCTGTGCATAGGGTCACTATGAGTCGATACTGACTTGATGGAACTTAACAACAACAACAACAACAAGGAGGAGGGAGTGGGAAGAGTGCTATTACACTGAAGGGATAGCAACATAAGTAATGAAACAAAATATGTATATATTACTGAATGAGAAACTAATGTATTCTGTAAACTTTCACCCAAATCACTATGAAATGTTTTAAAAACTAACAACAAAGAAGGGAGCAATAAAAAAGAAATATGTTGTTAAATAATCAGGAGGCAAAGGTAAAATTACTAAAATGTTTTATAAGAGCACTTTATTTCAGATACTTATAAGAGTTACTCTATTACATGGCATGATATTTTTGGAAATCTGTGCTTGGGGAAACTGTCAGAAGCCTGAGGCAAGCATAAATGTGTTCTACATGAGTGAGTGAGGCAGGAGTACACTATGTATTAGATTACTGTGCATTAGATTACAATTCTGAGAACGGTTTTGAACATCACTTTGAGTTAAAATAAGATCAGGCTCTTATGCCCTACTCTGTTGCTGAGCCTTTTATAAATGGCTCTGGGACAACAAGCTGTGATATTCCTCTTTTTCCGTGAGGAGGGGCTGCCTTTCTTCAGGGAGCTGCTTTCTCCTGCAACGACACAGCAGACTGAGGAGCCCTCCGAGCACAGCAGCCAAAACAGCCCCTACCACAGCTGCACTAAGGAGCCATCGCCAGATCTGACTGGCTTGTTCCAAGTAGGATTTAATGTAGTCTTGAAAGGAGTCTGGGTCTGAAATAGAAAAACATCCCAATATTTTTACTTTGTCATTGTTATCATCAGCAGCAACTTTAATCCTTAGGATTATTATTATCACATAATAGTTTGGAGTCAGATGCCAGGGTTGGAATCTTACCTTTGCTCTTAACTAGCTATAAGATCTAGGTGTGGAGCTGTAGGATCAGCACTGGCTTGGGAACCACAGGTTGGCAGTTCAAATTCACCTGCTGGTCCTCGGAAACCCTATACAGTGTCGCTATGAGTTGGAACTGACAACGACACTTAACAACAATAGCCTATAATTCTTGGAGTCCTGGTGTGTCATTGAATAATGAACTGGACCGCAGGGTCAGTTCAAGCCACAAGTTCGATGGTTCAAACCCACCAATGGCTCCTCAGAAAACCTAAACAGGGCTGCTATGAGTGAGAACCAATTTGACAACACTTAACAACAACAAAAACATCCTGTAACTCTTACTTCTTTTCTTCATCAACACAGGAAAGAAATATTGCCTTGTAATGTTTTGAAATTTATAGCTGATATTTGTAGTAAGCACAGTGCCTGGTATATAGTTTACACAAAATAAAAAATGAGTTATTATATTCACAGTTCATTCTCTTGGTCTTATGAAAATTTGATCATCTATAGAACAATGTTGACCACTAACTAATCAATAATCCAGGCTTTCTTTTAATTATTCTACAAACATGAATGTATTAAAATACTAGAAAATGTTCGGGAATCTTATGATGCTCCCAAGAACCTCGAGGACATTTTCTGTATTCATACATCCACAGCTGTCAGCCTGATTACAATTCATAGTAACCATGCCGTGGCGCTGTGGGCTAATGCATCAGACTGCAAAGTCAGTTTGAACTACAAGGTTGGTAGTTCAAGCTCACCAGCTGCTCCTTGGAAACCCTATACAGGGTCGCTATGGGTCGGAATCGACTCGATGGCACTTAACAACAATAACAACCGTGTAGGAAAGAGTAGAAGTACCCCCGTGGGTTTCGTAGACTCTAAGTCTTTACAGAAACACACTGCCTCATCTTCCTTCTGCAAAGAGACTGGTAGGTTCAAACCTCTAATTTTTCCCCTTAGCAGCCAAGTGCTTAACCACCGTGTCACTAGGGTTCCTTTCTGTATTAATTGTTGTTATTAATTGCCCTTTATAGGGTTTCTGTGGAGTGGCTGGTGAGTGTCAACTGCTGACCTCGTATTTTAAACTGACTTTGCAGTTCAGCGTGTTAATCCACAGTGCCACATCAGTACTACTGTTATAGTGGTAACAATTTAAAATCCTCAAATAACAGATTTTACTGAACTATAATCTTAAATATAGCAAAGTCTGTTTGAGCCACAAGGTCAGAGGTTCCAGCTCACCAATCTTTCTTTGGAATCCTACACAGGGTCACTATGAGTCAGAACCGACTGAACAGCACTTTAACACCACCAGCAACAACACATTTTTAAATAAGGAGTCCTGTTAGCTCTGTGAGTTGGGCATTGGTCTGCTAGCCACAAGATCAGCAGTTTACACTCACCAGGCACTTTACCTTCACCAAGAAAACGATGAAGTTATCTGTTCCTATAAATATTTATAGCCATAGAAACATTATGTTGGTTTGCTGTAAGTCAAAATCGATTCCATAGCAATTGGTATGTTGCTAACTAATTCAGAGCAAGGGATCGTATCCAACATTCTGGTTATTTTAAATGCTTCAAACAGCATGAAAAGGAGATGGTAATGGGGAGGTACAATAACACTAATGATTGCTGCCCATAAGAACCGTTCTATCTCTGAACTCATTTAGCTTTGATAGCCTGGAACATGCAATACAGAAATAATTTACTGACTGAGTTCTCTTACCCTATTGTGGAATTGTTTCAGAAAGTGAAGCTTGTTTTTTTTTTTTTTTTTTAAATCACCTCAATTACCATGAGATCCCTTAGAGCATTGTTTATTTGATTTCAAGAAACATTAAATATCAATTATGTTATAGGTTAGCTGATTTTTCATGATTGCAACCATCACACTGTATTCAAGTTGTTTGTTTACATGGCTGCTTTCTCTATTAATATGAACCAGTTGTTGGGGGCTCAACTAACTTTGATTTCTGTAATTCTGGCATATGATACAGTGCCAAAAAAACTTTATTCAGAATTCAGAATGTTTACTGAATGAATGAATGAATGTGCTATTGAGCTCAGACTAGATGGTGACAATCCCCAGGATATATGGAGTCTTGGTGTGGCGCTGTAGGATAGCATTGGACTGCTAACAACTCTCTATATAAGAGCAATCTATTTGCAGAGGTTGCTCTGTAAAAGAGGAATTTACTTATAGAAGATACTCTATAAAAGAACAATTTGGGGATATAAAAGGAAAGAAATAGCATGTTTAACTTTAAGGCAGTTCCCTTAAAAAGAAAGGATATGTCTTCTCCCTTTTCCTTGTTTCTTTTGTGCTACTTATTGTTGTTGTTATTAAGTGCCAATGAGTTGGTTCTGACTCATAGCGACCCTGTATAGGGTTTCCAAGGAGCGGCTGGTGAGTTTGAACTGCTGACCTTGCAGTCCAGCCAACTGTCCTGCAGTGCTACAGCTGGACTCCCTTGTGCTATTTGAAATGCAAATAATACTGAGTCCTCCAGTTACAAACCAACTCCTGAAAAGTCTATTATATTAAAAACTTGAGATACATACAATGGCTGATAATAACAAGCAAGTGCTACTTTGCAATGCACATCAAAACACTATTGTTGTCAAGTTCCATTCCATAGCTATGCAACATAGGGTTACAAAGGCATGGCCAGTTGAGTTTGAATGTTTCAACCTGTGGTTCAAACTGACCTTGTGGTCCTGCGCTTATCCTACAGCACTACATTACTATTTATGGGGTGTAAAGGACTCCTGGTGTGCCGCTGTGGGTTAATGCACCAGACTGCAAAGCCGCTTGAACTGCAAGGTTGGCGGTTTAAGCTCACCAGCCACTCCTTGGAAACCC